TTGAGAGAACAATAATAAACTTTATTTGTCAGTGAGCTTTTAATACCCAAAGTAGAGGATCAAAATTGCAGTTTACACATGACCTTTATTTCAAGATTTTCTGTTCCCCACCTTTAAACTAACTGTGAAAAGTAAATGCAAATATCTGAGAAATCTCTCTCGTGCCTCCCACATGTATCTAATGTACAATACCAGACTCTTGGTGTGTTTGAAGGTAGCCGAGTCACATAATTTAGAACCATTTTCTTTGGTCTTGCCACCCTTATTTGGTAATCAGTCACCTCTCAGGTCACTGTCAAACCTGAATGTAGTTAAAATTGTTTATGCCTCCGAATTTATCCATTAGCCTTTTTAGCACACTCCTATTTTGGATTTACTTTAACAAATTGATAGTAATTGCAAAATATATTATAAATATATATAATAGAATGGTATAACCAATTATTTTTCCATTTAAAAGTCTGTTTTTTATTAATTAGTTATTTTTTTTTATAACTAGAGAAGAATTCCCAGCATTCTCTCTGCCGTTTCCTCACCCTGAATTTTCCTGGAGCCACCGGAAGACTGGAGGTATGCTTTCATGAGCATCGGTGCGTAAGAGCGTCTTTCCTCACTAGTAGAAGACCACCTGGATATGGATTTGTTTACAACTCGGCTTGTGTAGCATGCAGTTCAAGTATGAAATTAAGTTGTTGATGACCTTTGATGGTGATTAAACTGCCCATTGGAGAAACAGGGCAGTTGCAGCAGTATCTGTTGTTACAAATGTCTACTTTTCACTTCTGATTTTGAGGATTCATAGTTGAGAAAAATAATCGCTTGTCTCCTCATGACCTTGTTAAAATGTATTTATGTCTCACGTAGACCCAGTTCACTATTTTTTTTCCTTTTCAGTGTTGCGGTATTTTGTCTAGTGACTTCCTCAGAGTGAATATTTTGCCTACTGTTCCACAGTGGAGTAAACATGCATAGTGGTCAATGACACCTTGTGCTGTAACAGATGTACACAAGGGTATGATAAAAACTGCTAAAGTTTATAAACTTCTGTATTATATTACTATTTCTGCTATTACCTGCCCATACATGTACTTTTAATACATCTATTTAATCCATGTTATTTCTTATTTTTCTAATTAACATTTATTGAATGATGTGTGAATGTTATGGGTGTATGAATTTTAAATACAGGATTACTTATCTGTCTTGAAACATGAAGATAACAAGATATATCTGAAACATGCCATTGCATAAAAGCAAGGACTTTTCAAAATCTCTGTGGACAGTGCTGAGAGCCTAGTCTATCCTTGTTTCTTCTAGCCAAGCTGTCACTGTTTAAATACAGGGGAGAAAACAGTGATTTTTGTTGAGAGCAGTGAGACCCCAGATTCTGAATTTCTTGTAAGCAACTTGTTTTCCCCTGATCTGAGTGCCTACAGCTGCTTTGAGCACGAGACCTTCAGGAGTTCCTGATGGCAGGAGAGTGGTTTCTGGTGGGTTTGGCTGGGGCATGGCTATCTCTATATAATCTGCCCCTGAACACAATAAAGGGGGCATTCTTGGGGAATTCAAGGATGACCTGTGTCTCTGTCTCTCTGTTTGTGTGTGTCTGTGTATTTTAACCTCCGGCCCCCTTGCCCAAAGCTTGGGAACTGGGTGCCAGTGCACAGAGCACAGACATGGGGGCGCGGTGTGCGCGGCAGATTTTATTGCATGGAAGTGTATTTTTTTAAAAAAGTGCATAATAGCACTCAAAAATGTTAATGTACAAATGTTTGTCTCAAGGAAAAAGTGAGTATAAGACCCTTTAAGTTTTCTGTGACTTGAAAGTAGGGACCTGTTAATACATGTGTAGTTTTTCTTTTTCATCTTTTACTTCTTTGCTTAGGTATTGAATCCAGAGCCTCATATATCCTAGCCAGGCATTGAACTGCATTCCAACCCCTATTGTTTCTTTATTGAATATATATATGCTCATAAAGCATAATACATTTTTGGTTATCGCTATAAGTATAAAAAGAAGAGACCTGAGCATGTCAGGAAGTCTTGAAGAAAGTATAAATTATACCCAGAAAGGGAAAGGCCACATAGATAGCACCAGTGTTGAAACACAAGATTATGTAAGCAGTAAAGCCTAGCCATGGCCCAAGGTAAGGAGACTTTGCCACAGTCTGCATCCTCTACTGATAGGAAGTAAAAGCTTTAAATGAGCCTGCTTTGTCATTATCAGATGCTGATAGAAAGTGTGAGTTTGCACTAATATTAGCAGGTCAGTACATAATAACAAGAGGCGCTTTTCTAACACTGACCAAGTAAAACTTCTAGATTCTGAGACAAAATGCTTAGTTATAAAGAAAATCCTTGTGAAGTTCAAACTGTTATAAGTCAAACTAGAAAGTGGAATATTCAGGTTCAAATCCTCTTGAGAGTCCCATGCCCCAGCAAAAGAGTCGATAGTCAGGACCCCAGGCACAGTTGTCAAAGACATTTGTTTTGTGTCAGATGCAGTTTCTATAAGCCTTGAAGTTATCAAAATAAGTATTTAATATTTATGATGAGAAAACATAGAATTAGCTGGCTGGACTCAATGTAGGAGATCCTAAGTTTTTAGCAGCGTTCAAAGCATCATAATCCAGAGTTAAACATATTCTGTTTCCTGTATCAGACACAACCAGGGTATTGGCTTTGGCCTCATCAGTGTTGTAGAGGAATGATTCTCAACCCAGGGATCAAATGACCCTTTCACAGATGTCATATATCAGACATCTGGCATTCAGATATTTATATTACAATTCATAACAGTTGCAAAATTACAGTTATAAAGCAGCAACAAAATTTTATGGTTGGGGGTTAACACAACATGAACCGTATTGAAGGGTCGCAGCGTTAGTGAGATTGAGAACCACTGTTGTCGAGCTTCATAGCCTATTTGATCATGCACAGTAAACACAAGTGTGGTGTTTCTATCAGCATGGCAGAATCAGTGATTAGAAAAACTCGACAGCTTAATAATCAAGCTATTTTCTCTAGGATGGCTGTTCTGAGGAAGTTCAGAGTTCCTCTCTTATACACCCTTTGAGGTACACTTGGTTAGGTCCCACCCCCTGACTACTCCAAGGACTGTAAGGGCCATTTCCAGTGCCCTAAGATGCAGGTGGCCAAGTTCCACCCTGCAAGGAAAAAAACCAGGGTCAGGCTACAGAATCCCACCAATTCCAGACCTCTCTGGAAATCATATATAAAGGTTTCTGCCTACGCTGCCCCCATGAAGCCCTCCACCTGTGTTGACCACAAGAAATCCTGTATAAAGCCTGCCTCCTCAGTTCTTTGCTGTTTCTCTCTGAGCAGAGGCAGTTGCCCTCCTGTGTCTTTCCTAATAAATCTGTTGTGTGAGGTTTGTTGTGTGGTGTGATTTTGTTGTATTCCTTGGCTCCTAACTTGCAGGATACCAGGATAACACTTAAAAACTCTCTAGCTATAGTGTCTCATGTCACTAGAAGGTGGCTGATGGCTGGTGAGTGGACTTTGGTGGGGGGATGGTAGTTGTGCATGCCTTTCAATGCTACCTTCTTGACCTTCAGAGTCTTGGCTTTGGTACTGGGAGAAACAGGACCTTCTTCTTCTTTTTCCTCTTCCTCCTCTTTCCTCTTCCCTCTCCTCTTCTTCTTTTTCCTCTTCCTCCTCCCCACTCCTTTTTTGTGTCCTCTTGGTAAAAGAGTTCAAAATAAATATTACTTTAATATTAACAAATTCCAGCAACATAAATAAATAAGAGTGAATCATATTAACATTGTTGCTTCAGAATTTGTTGGAGATAATTGATGTTTTGAAACCATTGTATAAGATGTTTACTGTTGGGCTCAGTGGGCAAAGTGCTTGTTTAAGTATGGGAACCTGAGTTTGATCCCCAGAAATCCTGTAAAAAAGCTCTATTTGGAAGTGGAAAGCTTGGTAGTGGTAAACAGCACTTGATGCTCTTCCATAGTACCTAGGTTTAATTCCCATCACCCACATAATGGCTCATAACCATCTGTAACTCTCGTTACAGGGAGATCTGACACTTCTTCTGGCCCCAGCATGCTCCAGGCATGTACATGGTATGCAGACATGCATGAAGAATATCCATACTCATGGAAAACAAACAAAGCTGGATTTGGCACATGCTTTAATTCCAGTGTTGAGGAAGTGTTTATAGTGAATCTTTGGGGCTCACTGGCTATTCGGCCCAGCCTACTTTATTAGCTCCTGGTCTCAAAAAAACAGGTAGATAACTTCTAAGGATTGAGGGGGCTCACTGACTATCCAGTCTAGTCTACTTTATGAGTTCCTGGTTGCAAAAACAAGGTATATAGCTCCTAAGAATTGACATTCTGGGTCGACTCTTGTTCTCAAAGGCATGTGCACTCACATGCAACCCTATGAACATGCATGCCCTCTAACAAGTTTAAAAGTTCAATGTAAAATATTCTATTAAATTTGCAGTTTTCATTTTACAAAGAAATCTCAGTTTGTAATCAACGTTTAAATGATGAAGAGGCAATAATTTTCAGGTTTTCATGCATGAGATACATGTGTGTGTATGTATGTACATGTGTGTTCGCACATGCATTTTGAGGTTAGAGGTTGCTAGCAGGTGTCTTATCAGTAACTGTTTGCCTTATGTTGGAGACTGGGCCAATCACAGAATGTAGGAACTTGCAGGTTTGGCTAGATTGTCTAGCAAGCAAGCCCCAGGAACCTCTTTATCTGCAACCAGCTTTTATGTAGATGCCAGGGATCAAACTTAGGTCCTCATGTTTCTGTAACAAGTACTTCACTGACTGAGATATAGTCCCAGCCCTTCAAACCATATTATTTCCTTAAAATACCTGTTTTTCATAAGATAATAAAATTACTATATGATAATTAGTTTCTCAAGCTTATGAAATTATCATAAAATAATAATCTTCATGATGATACTGTTAGACAATATGAAGAAATATGTATTTTTATTTTTTCTCTATTATTTTTATTGAGTTACCTTTATTATTATTATTCAAAGGAATTATACACTATTTTCAGTATTTTTTTCTAATTCTAACTCCCAAGGATCTGAATATTTAAACAGACAAAAAATGCACCCTCCCTTTAAAGATAATTAAATCTATGTTTCATTCATTAGAATTAACATTTAAATTTTTATGGGTACAGATGTTTTGCCTGCATGTTTGTGCCACATACATGCAGTACCTGTAGACGCCAGGAGAGGGCGTCAGATGCCTGGCTACTGGAGTTACAGATGGTTGTGAACCACCATGCAGGAGCTGCCTTGGGTTCTCTTAAAGAGCCGTCAGTGCTCTTAATCACTGAGTTGTCTCTCCAGCCCCAGTGTTGATCATTTTAATGACTTAAGGCACTTATCATTGCTGCTTGAAAGGACAGGTTCTAAAAGAACAATAAAATTAAATAGTTTTTTTTTTTCTGATACTCCTGTGCAGGAGTTGAATATCATGATTTTGACCTTCTTTTAAAGCTTTTATTTGTTTGTTTGTTTTTATGTGTATGGGTTTTTTGTCTGCATGTATGTCTGTACCTTGTGTGCCTGGTGGCCATGGAGGCCAGAAGAGGGTGTCAGATATACTAGGACTATAGTTACAGATAGATGTGAGCGGCCATGTCAGTGCTAGAAATTGAACCTGCATCCTCTAGAATTTTTCCTTCCTTGATTTTTGTACTTTCATTATCAAATGTCGAGGTGAAATGACAAACCGAAGACTGAAACAAGTGAAACAACCACCTCCCACATTATCTGCACACACACTACCCCCCAAAACTTGAGATTTTTGAATGGTGTAATGTTCAGCAGGTATGTTTATGTTTAGTTTCTTTTCTGTAAACCTGTGTTGCCTGCAAGGATGCATGCTAAGATTCAGCAGATAGTGACTTCCTGTGTTTTGTTAGCTGTGGAGATTTATTTATAATCAAAGGAGACCAAGAGAAAAACTCAATACTATTAGAAGCATCAGTAAGCTGTAAATTCTATATCAGATTGCCACGCACCGCGCCACCGTGTCTGTGCTCTGTGCATTAGAACCCAGTTCGTGAGCTTCGGGCAAGGGGCTGGAGGTTGAGAATACAGAAGCTGAGACAGACCGACATGCAGACCTTCTTACACTGATACCAAAGCCCCAAGAATGCTCCCTTTATTGTGTTCAGGGTCAGATTATATAGAGATAGCCATTCCCCAGCCAAACCCACCAGAAACCACTCTCTTGCCATCAGGAACTCCTGAAGGTCTCGTGCTCAGAGCAGCTGTAGGCACTCAGATCAGGGGAAAACAAGCTGCTTATAAGAAATTCAGGATCTGGGGTCTCACTGCTCCCAACTATTAGAAGCATCAGTAAGTTGTAAATTCTATATCAGATTACTTGTGTCTGGATGATAAAATAAAGGTCGAAGACAGAAGGGATGTGGAGTAGGAGATTCACCCTTTTCTTGATCTTTCCTCAACCTGACTTGGTGTGAACTGCTTTGATCCGGCTCCTCTTAGAGGAAGCAGGCTGAGAACAGATCATAGAGTTGAAATCAGAGGCTAGATGAGCTCCCTGCTTCCTCTCAGCCCTACATGAGGTGTTCACATCCAACTCCAGATAGCTTATTCATTTCAGGTCTATCCGGAGGAGATGACGTAGTTATAAATTCTTTGTTGTACTTATAAGAATTTAGACTAATGCAACAGAAATAGGTTTGTTTCTAGCTAAATTAATTTCAAGTAGTTGCAATTCTGCTTGGACTGTCATTGTTTACTGCTCTAATTGGTGGTTAAACTGAGAGTGGAGTCTAAAAGTGGGGTGGACTGAGGTCTCGTGTAATAGCCAACTTTATTCAGAGCACCAGCAATTTGTACCTGAGGGTTAAGAAAGATCACAGGAGTAAAGTTCTCTTGAGTTCAAGCTGTGCACACAAGGACAAGCCACACATGGAAAACCATGCTTTTCCAAAGAGGCATATAAACAACTATAGCCAGTTGTAATGAATAATCTGAAGTAAACTTACTGTTATCTGCTATACCTCGAAGGGGCACGAAAGCATATTTGAAGAACAATTCTGTGTTTTTGAAGAAACAGAGGTCACAAACTGTTGTCTTGTTTTCTCTCAGGCACTCATAATTCTTCTCAAACTAATGTGTTCTTGGACTGTGTTCTGATACCACGTAATTTTTTCTTTTTCTCACTTTAGAATTTTATTTTATTTTAGTAATGAAAACCGAAAGTGTCTGATGTAACCCTGGTTAGTCTGACCTCACTGAGTAGCCTGGGATGACTGAACTCCTGAGCCCTCTCCTGAGTGCTGGAGTATGAGCTGGCACTGCCATTCCAACTTAAGGGGTAATAGGGCTAGAACCAGGAGACAGTCTGCCAGCTAAGCTACAACCCCAGCCCAAGAAATGAAGAATTTTATTATTTTCTAAATAATAATAAGTTTATAGCAATAGATGGATATATTTATAAAATCTCTGCTGTGTCTGTTGAATCATTTAAGAAAGCGCAACTTTTATTTTTATAAAATGCTGATTGAGAAGGATATACTTTGTGGTTTAATAAAGCTATAATAAATATATATATATATTGTTCTAGGTCCTGAAGTTGAAAATGGTGAAAATTTACCACATCCAGGAAAGGTTGGTTTATATAGCCAAGACTGACTGTGTAGATTGTGGATTTAGATTTTTAACATCATATTGATTAAAGTTTCATACTCATTTAGACTGCCTGCTAGGCAGTAATCTGACTAAATCACATCATTAACTAGAAACCTATTTATTTCATATTTTTTAAATTATAATATAATTACATTGTTTCTCCTTCATTTTCCTCCCTTTAATCTCTCCCATGCACTCCACTTACTTTCTTTCAAATTCATGGCATCTTTGTTAAAGAAAATTGTTTTACATTATATGTGCAGATCTGTAGTCCCAACACTCCAAAGTTTAAAGTTCTAAGTCATATGTGTATATTCCTGTGTATATATTTCTAAATGTATAAATATAGCTTGCTCAGTTCGTATAATGTAACCTATAGGCATATGACTTCAGAGATAACCACCCTGGGGAAGGCCATTTCTTCCACTGTCAGCTTTCCCCAGTTGTCTGTAGTGCCTTGTGTAGGGTTGAGACCCCACAAACTGCCCCCTTCCATGTTAACATATTCAGTGATGTTATCATTGTTCAGATCTTCTTGATAAGAATTCATGGGTGTGGACTCTGACATTTTAGGAGACACAGTCTCACAGAAAACTTCTGTTGCTCTGGCTTTTATAATCTTTCTGTCCCCTCTTCTGCAGTGATCCATGAGCCGTAAGTGCAGAAGTTGTCTTGTAGACCTATTGATTGGAGCTGGGTACACATGATCTCTTGTTGACTGCTATTTGATTAATTTTGTTTTTTGTTAACTTTTTCCTCTGTTGCAAAAGAAATTTCTTTGATGAGGGGTGAGAATTACATGTATAAATTAAATATTTAGAATATAGTTATGAATTATTCTGGTTTAGTGAAGTGGAAGTTGTAGGTTCTCATATAAGATCCTCAGTAGCTATAGGTAGTTGGCTAGGTTTCCAGTACCAGGCATGGTTTCCCTCTTGTTCAATGGGTCTTATGTCCAACCAGAGAACTGTTGGTTACTACCAAGGTGTGAATGCCACTACTGCACCCTTAGGATTATTGTGCCATACTGGTCATTGTTATGGTTCATAGGTGTCATAGCTGGGTAGGACTGCTGGTTCCTTCCATGCTTTGTAATTTTACATGATGCCATCTAGTACCAGGGAGGAAAAATATTGTCTAAAGATCTATTCATATATTTATTCTTCCTTGTCTTTAATAATTTTGGAATTTTCTGATCTGTGTTTCTTACCCACTATGACAAGTCTCTTATTCTTTTTGTGTAGAAGTGTACATATGCCTATGATGGGACATTGTTGTTTTTAATATCAACCTCATTTTAATATTTCAAGCTTGCTTTCTCACTGTCCTGTTGCTAATGTTTACCAAGGTGTAACATGTGGGCCTGCTTGTTAGGGTTTCTGTCTTAGCCCAGTTCCCACAGCTGTTTAGCCCCAAAGAATCACACAGAAGTCTACATTAGATATAAACTGATTGGCCCATTAGCTCAGGACTCTTATTAGCTCTTATCACTTATATTAACCCATTATTCTTGTCTTTGTTAGCCACAGGGCTCAGTACCTTTTTCAGTGGGGCAGGTTACATCCTGCTTCTTTGGTGGTCTGGGCAGGACTGGTGAGGAATGGGCTTCCTCCTTCCCAGCATTCTCCTCTTCTCATTTCCCCACCTCTACTTCCTGTCTGGTTGTCCTGCCTATACTTCCTGCCTGGCCAATCAGCTTTTATTTAAAACATGATCGAGAGAATACAGACAATTCTCCCGTACCACCAAGGGCCCTGCTTTGTCTTGTTTTCCATCTGGTGCTGTGAACTGGCTCTGCCCACAGTGGACTCATACTCTCCTTCAGGATATCAAGTAGCAACAGACCTTCCCAGGCCCACCCTATCTTACCTGACCATATCATTTCAGCTGTATCTTCTATATATGCAGTTACCAAGTTTTTCTGCTGAAGTTAGGAGCCAGAAGGCAGGAAAGTTGGCATAAAATTTTGACTGGATATGACTTCAAGGATAACTCTTGTTTACATCTGTAGTGTACGGAGAGGTGGATGTTGCAAAGAGTTGCTGTGAGGACCAGAGCAGCTATGACTTCTGGCCTGGCTGGCACCTAGTCATGTTGGAATAAATAACTTGTCCTTTCCTTACTTCACAAATCATTCACTTATGTCTCACCTCCTTCCTTGTCTTTGGGTCTGTGTCTGGTGACTGGTAATAGTGGCCAAATTGCTTCTTCTCTGATACTTATTTTTCCCTGGATATGTCAATATTTCCTAATAGAGCATCTGAAAAATATTTAATGAAATGGTTGGAGAGCATTGTGTCAGATATTTATATATTTAAAAAATTTGTAGGAAAGTAACTTGTTTAATTTTGTCTCACCAAATAATTTCAGCAAAATCAGGAAGCTCTCCATTGCCTCTTCTTCCCTGAGGGTTTGTGACTCTTGCATATGAGGTTTTGTGGGACTGTTGCTAGGTACATCTTCATATCTTGAATTTTATAAACATAAAAGGATTTTTAATAGCAGGGAACCCTTTAGATGTGACTCAATGAGTAAGATACAGATCTTAGATTTCTTCTAATTATCTTAGAAGAAAATTATAGTATTCGAGATAAATAAAGGCATTTTCTTAGGCTCTTTATGCTGTAGATAGGGGATAAATGGTGGCAGATAGAATATGTTAATTTTTTACTTCTTTTATTTAATTTAGAACAAATTATTAGCAGGCTTAGGAGATGATAATCCATCCTTCCAGAGAGGTAGTGGAGTTGTGGGGAACAGTCAAAATGATAGAAAACTATAAATTTCAATACCTGTAATGTATGTTGTTTTCCTAAGTGGCACAGCAGTTGATCTGGATAGCAACTTTGAGAGGGATTGTAATATTTTGGCACTGAAAACGAGCACTTTTGAAAATGATGTACTGGGAAAGTGGGGGTTTGTATTTTTCTGTTTAACAAAAATTCAGAGTCGGGACTCATAAAATTTCATAAAATTGTTCCTTTGTTTGTTGGCAGAGACCACTAGTTCGTTCCCAGCTTCCCAAACACAAAATAATCACACAGAAACTATAATATTCGAAATACTGTTTGGCCAGTTTTAGTATATTTCTAGCTAAAACTAACCCATCTCCATTAATCTGTGCATCACCATGAGGTTGTGGCCTACTGGCTTCTCCTTGACTCTGCCTACTCTCTCTCTATATTTCTTCCAGCCTGGTTATATTCTGTTAAGCCATTGGCTGAAAGCAGCTTCTTTATTAGCCAATGGCAATAAAACATATTCACAGCATACATCACCTCCCCTTTTCTGTCTTAATAAAAAGAAAGGGTTTAACTTTAACACAGCAAGATTACATATAACAAAACAGATATCAAGCAAGAATTATAGTTACAATATTTATATCTACTTTATCTTTTATCATAACTAAGGAAAACTATAACTGTTCTACTCCATCAAAGACTCTAGAAGTATATATTAACTAAGTAAACAGGAAGTGCATTGTAAACAACTTTCAAAACTCTAGAATTGACAGGGATATCTTGCTTCCTGGACAGTCACCCAAAGTTCTTCTGTAACATTGGGGCACCCATCTTCAGCCTACAGGGCCATAGCGTCCAGCAGACTATTCCATGAAGCAAGAAATTTCAAAGACATTTCCACCTATATTGTCAGTCACATTTTTTGTGTGTCCTGCAGGATGTCTAGCAGACTCTTTAATGAAGCAGGAACCCTGAAGGACATCTCATTTTTAGGCAAGTCCATCAGTTATTTCTCTGTGGGTCCTGCATGTCCAGTTCATACAGCATAACATCAAGCAGTCCAGGCAAGAGTAGTTTCTTGCCCAAATGGCTAGCAAACTCGATAAGGAGCCTCTTTAATACCCATGCAGATGTGTCTTACTATCATGAAAAGGTTTAAAACATTTTGAATGCCATACTCTGTAGTCTTTGAAAGATCTGAAGAATAACCTATCCATCTGAAATACATCTCTATGCATCTAGAAAACCTAACTAAGATGACTACAAGCTTGATTATTATAGATGACTCTCTATTAACCTATATTTCTTAATTATACATTACATTTTAAAATGAGCTGTACAAACTCAATACCTTAAGAGCAGAAATATACATATAATAAAATTGGTATCCATAGACCAAGATCCATACCAATGCAAAGTATCCATCTCTATAGCATATCAACCTTTAAATATAAACAAACAATTTAAATTGTCATTTAGGGAATTTGGGTGTCATTCTCTTCAAACTGCTTCCTGCTTTTTGTTAGTTGGAGTAATTTTGGGGGGTGTTCACGATGACCTTTCAGGGGGTTGTGGTCCATCAAACCACATTAGTCTGGAACGAATCCATAGGTTCTCATCTTTTGTGGAAACAAAAGAAGAACCTCTTTTCCAAAGAAACAAATCCTTATACCCAAATTTTGAAGTTGAGATATCTTAAAAATATGTATATTGATTTATCTTAGCAACCCATACAATGAAATGTCTCTCTGTACTTAGCTCATTCACAATCAATAAATTCAAAGAAAACACAATAATATACATAATCCAGACTCTGTGTATATTCTGTCTTTACATGGCTTATTTTTCTTTATTTCTATTACTTTTTCTACAAGTTTACTCTGTCTCTTTAAAGACTTTGTTTTATTTTTTAAAACAATTTACTTCTTTTTATAACTTTCATTTATAGTGAGAAGTTTTCTTTTTATTTATGGATGAAGGTAGACAGTTGGTAAAAATAAATTACTGACAAAATGATTTATAAAACTAATTTTTAATTTTAAATGTTGCTTGTGTTTTCTGTAATACACAGGAACTAAGTGAAAACACAGATTCCCCTGAAATTAGTCTTCTCTCTGGTACTTCACTTATGGCATCTGATTTGGTTACACCAAAGGAGAAATCATTTGCAAAGCCAGTGAAGACCTTAGCTGTACCAAATACATTTTTTGAGCCTGAACAGGAAGTAACACTGACCATGACATCTAAAGAAACCAAAGATGAAGAAAGCTCTCTTGAAACATTTGTGTCTGCTTTAGAAAGATTACTAGAATCACCAGAAGGCACCCAAGAAGAAACACTGCTTGAAATAGTGAATGATTTCAATCCTCAAGAATTGAAGAACCCATTGAGCAGCTCCTTGAGTTCTGTGTCAGTCCCTTTGAATGCCTTGTCAGCATGTTGTAGAGATGTACTAGAAAGCACGAAGAATGATGATGCATTGCCTGCTGAATTGCTGGCAACCATCAACATGCTACCAGGTGACAATGTAGAACCTGGACCTGTAGGACCCATCTGTCAAGGACAAAAGAAAAGCAGCAGTGTTAGTAGTGGAAACGGATGTTTAGAAGTGCAACCTACCATGTCTCAGATAGATGAAGACTGCACACAAATAGTACAGGTGAATTCAGTCTCTCTTCTACCCTACCATATAAACAGTTCAGGTTATCCTAGTTGTGGAACAACATCTGTTAGTAGGACAAGTGGATGTGCACAGTATAAGTATATAGGTATAATTTTTGTAGTGAATCGTCATTGTATTAAGTTTAAATCATCTCACCAAATACCAACATCTGGAAGATATTGTGTAACTTTCACACATAGATTGCTTCTTTTAGAAGTGCTGGGTAGAGTTTACAAGGGATTAAGATAAAATTGTTTCTTCCCCAACATACATAAAAAGGCATATTGTTAGTTTTTTATTATATAGGAAAGTATTTATTACCAGAAATTTCCCTGTTGTTTAGAATACTCTGTTAACTGAATTCAGAGTAGTTACAGAACATTGTAGTTGGACAGAGTAATTTGGGCTTCTAATGTGGGATGGAGGAAGAATTAAGCCTTTGCTAAGCCCTGTTTGCCTTTAGTATCTGAGTGGAATGCCAGACATAATTTGTAGCTTTAAAATTCCTACAGCATTATGCCCAGAGGCCCTACAGATGTGCACCAGGAGCCAAGTTCCCTTTTCATGTTTGTATTCTTATTGTTATAAAATTATAGGCAACTATGTTGATGTGTACTTGCAATTCCAGCACTGGAGAGGCTGAGGCAGCAGGATCAGTTCAGGAGTTCAAGGTTAGCATGTGACCATAGCAACACCCTGTTTCACATCAACCAAAACCGAAATAACAAATCAAACATGATAAGATTATATAACAGTATGATAACAAAGTTCCCCCAAAATATAATTTCTAGACATTGTTAACAGTTTGGTGTAGCTTTAATTACTTCTAGTCCATGTCAATTTGTTTTATTCAAATGAAACTGTATAATACAGGTTGCTTTGCAACTTATTTTTTTAAATCTAATGCATGTTGCTTTTTTTTTAGTGTCAGGAAATGTAGCACTTTTCAATCTTTTAGGTTACTAAATGACATAAATGCATTATAAAAATAATTTATTGTTATAGTTTAATCAATTCATAATAATGGAAACTTAGATACCCTTTTTATTTAGTCTTGGCAATTAACAAAATATTCCATATATATCCCCAGGAAGATTTAGAGAAAACTTGAGTGTATGTTGCAGCATACAAACCTAGAGTAATACTGATGTAATCCTGCTTGCAAATTTCAGATAGACATTATAGGTTTAGGACAACAAAAAATAAAAAGACCGGATACCTTTAATCCCAGAACTCTGGATGCAGTGGCAGGTGGATCTCTGTGAGTTCAGCCTGGTCTATAGAGGAAGTTCCAGAACAACCAAGGTTATACAGGGAGACCCTGTCTCCAAAAACTGACCCCCCCCCCCACCAAAAAGAGAAAAACTCAGAAAAAGACACATTAATCATGGAGTGTTAAAGGTGATTAAACATTTACATGTTCTAGGATAAAGAGAAGGTGGTGGTGGTGGTGGTTTTTTTTTTTTTTTTTTTTTTTTTTTGTTTTTTTGTCGGGGGTTTTTTTTTGT